AGCTATATCCAAACCTCAACTGATTTCAATATAATTTGGCAATTTTTTCTGGTGCCAGATTTTGTCTCTCTCGCTTTGGGTGCATCAAATATGTGAAATCGGCTGAGTATATATGTGGGAGCTATAATCAAATCTGAGCGTATTTGAATATAATTTGTCAAATTTATTTTTGTACCAAATTTAGCCACTCATGCCGAATTTCATTGGAATCTGAAATACGTATCGTGTTTTGTGCATCAAATATGTGAAATCGGCGGAAAATATATATGGGAGCTATATCCAAATCTGAACCGATTTTAATATAATTTGACTAATTTATTTTCTAATCAAAATCCCGTTACATATTCCAAATGTCTTTGGAATCGAACATACATAGCGTGTTTGGTGCATCAAATACATGAAATCGGTCGAAAATATATATGGGAGCTATATCCAAATCTGAACCGATTACAATATAATTTGACAAATTCATTTTGGCTCCCAATTCCGTTACTTATTTTAAATTTCATTACAATTGGGAATACATATCGTGTTTGGTCCACCAAATACATGAAATCGGCCGAAAATGTATATGGGAGCTATATCCAAATCTGAACCGATTTCAATATAATTTGACAAATTAATTTTCGGATTAAATTCCGTCACACATTCCAAATTTCATTGGAATCGAACATTCATATTGTGTTTGAGGCATCAAATGAACGAAATCGGTCGAAAATATATATGGGAGCTATATCCAAATCTGAACCGATTACAATATAATCTGGCAAACTTATTTTTGTTCCAAATTCCGTTACGTATTCCAAATTTGGAGACTGTATCTTCAACCAATCAATAGATATGTGCATATAAAATCTAAATTTTTGGGAGGTACCTCCGATTCTGATGCTATATCTCCAGTTCCAAGTGGAAATTCAAAAATGTATATAGCCTATGTTACTTTCAGGCGATGTTGCAGTATATATGGAAATTTTCAGGAAAATCTATTCAGCGGTTTTCGAGTCCATAAATTACAAACAAACAAACAAACATACAAACATTTTCCTCTTTTATAGATATAGAAGAAGATGACAGTTTTTCATTTTATTTTGAGATGTAATTCGAAATAATTTATTTGTAGGAATCATTTGAATTGGAATTATTCCATTTGAAATTCGAAATAAAAAATGCAAAAATTTCGTATTTGCTTTTACGAGTTGCAAATGGCATAATCTGAATTTCAAATGTACGACAAGTAAAAGGGCAGAAATTACCCTTATACCCTTCACCATTTGAAAGGAATTTTCAAAAAAAAAAAAAATAAATAAATAAATAAATAAAAAAAAATAAATAAATAAAAAGTGTTTTGCCGAATACCCTCCGAATGGATACCCTCAGCCAATGTTCGTTAATTTAAATATATGTTGACTTGTGTTTAAATGTATGTGACTTGATCATTCAAAATGTTGACATCTTACCCAAAGGAGTGGGCCAATGTTGTCCATTTCGTATCTGAACTAGGTCTGATATACATGTCCCAGATTTGAAGTATATCGGCATCTTTTCATCATTCATCTTTTCATGAGTTATGTATTAATTTTTTGAAAATGTAGAAACGTGCGTGAGGTACCAGATATAGTGGATAGAGGCATTTATCTTCATCTATTACTGGAAAAAAGACTGGGATGAGCAAAATTGTTAGAGAATCTCACATTTATTTTCAAGTTTATGCGAATAATTGTTAATCAAAATTTAGACCTTTTGTGGTGGAGGTACCAGAAGGAGTGAGCCGATAAACCCTTATATTCACATCATATATCTGCCTACCAAGTTTTAAAAGAATAGCTGAATTGTTTTGCAAATTATGAGAGATATAAGTATTGAGAATTGTGACCCCTTAATGGAGAAGGTATAAGAAGGTATCAGAAGGGGTGATCCGATATCTATAATTTTCACACAAGATCTTGGATTAGTAGAAATATTGAGACGTGTGCAATTTGAAAGGAATCGGATGCTTACTTCGGATTTATAAACGTTTTGGTTATTAAAGCTGGTGACCCGTTGTGGGGGACGTACCACAAGGAGTGGTCTGACATATTCAATCTGCAATTCTAATTACGTGTTGATAGAAAAATTGAAAGAAATTGTCAAGCTTCATAGTTATTCAACATGTTGACCCCTTTGTGGGAGAGGTACCAGAAGTAGTGAGCCGATATAACCCATCTTCACAACATATCTTGTGTTAGTAAAATATTGGGATGTGTGAAATTTGAAGAGAATCGAATGCATATTTCACATTGCATAAGAAATATAATTATTCAAAATGTTGACCTGTTGTGAGGTAGGTAGCAGAAGGAGTGGTCCGATTTGTATCATTCATTAGTAAAACATTGGGATATGTGAACTTTGAAAAAATCGGAGGCTTATTTAGAATTTTATAAGCGTTTTATTATTCAACATTTTGACCCCTTTGTGAAAGAGGTACTGGTCCGATATCTGCAATCTCAACAACATATCTTGTGTTGGTATAAATATCGGAATGTGTGAAGTGTAAAATTATGCTTATTTCGCATTTTCGGCTGTACAAAATGTTATACCCTTTTGAAGGTGTGGACCGATATATCGACCGATATAATATTCACACCAAATCTTGTGTTAATAAAAATATTGGGATTTGTAAATTTTGAAAAGAATGGGGTGTTTTTGCTTATTTTATAAGAGTTGCACTTTTTCAAAATTTTGAACCTCTGTGTGAGAGGTACTTGATGGAATGTGTTGATATTTTCCATTTTCGCACCTGACATTGCATTGATGCAAATATTGGGATTTGCAAAATTTGAACAAAATCGGATTATCCTTTCTCTTTCTGTACAGGAAAATAAATAAAATGATGACCTTTTCTGGGGGAGGTGCCAGAAGGAATGGACCAATATTGTCCATTACCAAGCTCGATCTTTGTTGGATAAAAATATTACGATGTACCAAGTTTGGTTCAAATCGGATGCTCCCTTCGAAACATATCGTGCGCAAAAGCCAGACAGACGGACGGACATCGCTAGATCGAATCCAAATGTCCTGAAACGGGACCCAGGGTCTGAAACTGTCATTTCGATGATGCACGTTTTGGACGTATCAAATGTTGTAGGGTATACATATAGCCTCTTTGGCTGAGGGCATAAAAATTCCGTTGAAAAATACTGCTAAAATCATAAAAATACCGAAAATAGGAAGTTACCGTTATATTGCGGCCTATACGAAGACTTGGATCTGTATATACAATTTTTGTCATAACCCATTTCTATTTTCAAATTCAAAACTGGAAATAATTCCGGTGAATAATGTCGCTAAAATTATCAAAATACCAAATATAGACATGGACCTGCATATGTAATTTTCGGTCACAAGCAGATTGAAAATCGGATCAGGTATAGCTATAGCTTCTATATATATGTTTCATCCGATTTGGTGTTTAAGTCCCTCACATTCGTAATATGCATTCGACAACAATGATATTTGGTAACAGATATCACATACAGCCCAGAAATACCTCTGCCAAATTGTATCAAAATCGGTTCAGATTTGGATATAGCTCCCATATATATATTTTCAAAAATGTCGGGTTAATTGTGCATCAAATGGCCAATATCCGTCCAAATGACCTGAAGTTTGGTACATTCGACTGAATTTAGTCTCGAAGTAAGTACATGAAATTTGGAAAAAAGAAAATCGGTTCAGATATAGTTTTAGCTTCCATGTGTATTTTTCTTCCGATTTGATGTTAAAGTCCCTCACATGCGTAATATTTACTCCGTAATATACACTGCACGACAATGATATTTGATACTGATCGAAAATACATCTGCCAAATTTTATCGAGATCGGCTCAGATTTTTATAGTTCACATATAAATCTTCATCCGATTGTACGGTTATTGCTCACCATACATATAATATGAGACCAAATGGAAAAGATTTTTTCATATTCAACCGAATTTTACCATTTGGTGGAACTCGGCTCGGCTATAGCTCTAAGAAATATGGGTCTATCCTTATCGAAGTCATCTGTTATCACTATACAGCAATGTTATTTGGTACATAGTTGGTATGATCTACTTCACATAATTTCATAATATAAACTTTTTTGCTACATGAGCTCTACTAAGTACGCATCATAGGCCCCAACTTTCGACCTTTCCTTATTGTTTTTCTTTTCGAATTTGTTATATCTCGAGAACGGTTAAAGATATTGAGAAAAAATAAACGGCACAAGTTAGCACGACTGTTAATTTTTCGAAAATCGAACATTGTAATACTGACATACTTTCGAAATTTTAATTTTTTTGAATTTGGTAAGAGACATCGAAAAATTTTAATGGCACAAAAAAATTCAAAAATTACATTTCCCTCAGATTTTTTCAAATATCTCCGAAATATTTTGCGAATTTCGAAAAAATTCGGCGAAATTGAGCACAAATCTAGCACAATTTTCCTTTTTTCGTAAGTCGAAAATTGCAATTCCGAACGGACACCACTTTAGTATTAGTCTCAAATAATTATGTTGGTAAGATAAAAATATCGTGCATACAGGGTTGTCGTCACCGTCTCAATTTCTGGAAGATCTTTGTAATTATTGCGACTTCATGTATACAAAAATATACATATGTATGTACTTGTCATACATTCCACGTCCCCTTCACTTTTTTTGGGTAACACCAACCAAAAAGGCCATTAGAATTCTTGCATTTCAAAATTGAAATCTACCGATGAGTACAGCTAGTGAAAGGTACAATTCTTTGTAAGAAGACCCCATGCACAACGGCAACAACAACAACTACATGACATTCGATATCAAGTGAATGATGAACATTTTCATGAAACCAAAAACGAAAATTGAAGCACGTGCTCTCAACTGTAAAACCCTTCTTGGAAAAGCTCGAAACACAAAAAACGAAATACCGAAACTCTAAGCGCAAACATGAAATAATAGCAAGCAACCTCTTCTTTTCTTTTCTCTTCTTTCAGAGTATCTTTCAGTACGGCTGTCAACTGCTGGAGGCATCGCAGACGTTGCGCACCACCTGCAAGCTGGAAATCAGCGAAGCATTACAAATGCAACAGCAATTAGAGAAGACGTGGCACAGTCTTCAGGCTATAAGTCAGGAGCACATGACACGACTGCGCGTCTCCGCTGTCTTTCATCGCAGTGTCGAAGATTATTGTCAGCAGCTGATGGATCTGCGTCGTACGCTACGCACCATGTTGCAGGAGCAACAGTTGCAGCTGCTCCAGCAACAACGCAGCAGCAGCAGTGGTGTCAGCAGTGAATCAGCCTCGCCCCAACCATCCTCCACAACGTCGACAATGACACGCAACATGACAACATCATCGCCATGCATGCTGTTGCATTCGCGGCAATTGTCCCGCAAAGCCATGGCGGCAGCAAGCCGAAAAACAAATGAGCGAACAGCAACAACAACAACACTACTCAAAGATTGCGGTGCAGCACTGGCCGAAAAGGCTCTCAACCAGCAGAGCGAATTGTTGCGCAAGTATTTGGTGGAACGTGAAAAACTTCTGGTGGAAGTAGGTCGCATGGTTCGTTTGGGAAGGTTATTGAAAACTCGTTTGAAAGAACCTTTCGTCTTGGATGCGGCCACAGGGAAGAGGTAGGTAGCTGCAAACGAAATGCCATCAGCTTGGCATTGCATTTGTTCACCCCAGAGAGATTTCTCTTTGGTTTTTCTTCCATAGAAAGGTGTTGTTTGAAATGGCATAGAATTTTCCAATTTGTTTGTTTTTTTTGGCAAAATTTTGATGTTCAAGAGAGATAAGTGGAAAGCGAAAATTTCGTTGCCAAAAATTACAAAAGTTTCTTTTTCTGTTTGTTTTTGAATGGAAAGTAAGATTATTTCCTCCTGTTGTGTGATGAAATATCAAGTCACTGAACTTTAAAAGAATTTGTGTCATTCTAGATGCGCACAGTGGTCCTGATGGGAAAGTTTTTTTGTATTTATCTAGTAAATAAAATAATGAAAATGGATCACATAGTTATCTTCTGCAGGGTGAGATGAAAAAACTGCAACCAACTTCAAACTGCTGTCATATCTGAGTCGCTCGCCCGAAAGCTTTTAAAATTATTCCAGTCACAGCTCATTGTATTGTTCACAAGCGTACAAAAGCATTTTTGTGAGAATTTTCCAGAAAAAAAAAGCTGGAAAACCGCAAGTGGCTATCGTTAGAGCACTCCAGCATTTAAATGTGAATCGCTCGATATCGTGATACTTGTTGAAAACAACAACATGAGCAGAAATGGTTCGAAAAGTAACAAAATATGGCTCATGACCTGATAATATCGCAATGTTCCATTCGGAAAATATTGAAAAATAAGCTCAGGATAAAGCCATTGAAATTCCAAAAAGTGCAAGAACTTACACCGCAACAGAAAAAAGATGTAAAAAATGTGTATGGGTGAACTGCCGAATTTGGTTTTCTCCGATGAGAAAACATTCGTTTCATTCGCAGTTTGTTTACTTGCCAAAGAGGTCAGCGAAAATACCAATCGGTTGGACTATTGTGTCTGGAGTATTTTGGAAAGCTAGGTTGACACTAAAAAGTAGGTGATCGACACAGCTTAAGCAAGCGCTTTGCCGGGAATAGGCAAAAATACGCAGAGCAACATTCGAGCAGCGTGTGACGGTTTCATTGGCCGCTTGAAGGCCATAATTCGTGCCAAAGGTGACCAATCTAAACTTAATCTAAAATATGATGCTATTTCCGAAATTATGACGTTTGATTTTGTTGCAGATTTTTTATCTCACCCTGTATATAAGGGTACAATTCGATGTATGGTATGTTGAGCCTCATTTTCGTACCGAATGCCATGCAAATTGATATTTGATGTTTTGAGAGGGAGAAAATATCTTTGCAAAATATATGAACGTTAGTCCCTATTTTTCTAAGCAAAATTTAAGAGCAATAGTTGTATTAAAATATTTAAAACCTTTGCTTTAATGCACTTAATTGTTGTTAAGGGTACACGTTTGGCTTAGCAACTATATACCGACTAATGTCAGGTACTTGTATACAAGGGCTACGCTAAACTAACCTAAACCGTGAGCCTATGTCAATAAAGTTCGTATGGAAATTTCCCGTCCATCAAGAACCCTTTTTATACCCTCCACCATACATAGTATTTAGGGTATATTAGGGTTTGTAACTCATCGAAATGGTAATTGTAGACCTGTATTCTTAATTAACATAAAATTATAAGACCATTTAGCCCTATCTGTCCGTATGTCCATCTTTTGTAATCACGCTAGAGTCAATTAAAGATAGGAAACTAGAATTTTGCACAATTTTCCACGATATCGTATATCCCCCATATATATTCGGAATTTTGAATATTTTAGGGACATTATTCACAGGAGTCGAGCGGGGCCGACCGTTGCTACCCTACAACACTATAATAAACGATACATTTTATATAGGTGAGATACTCTAAAGAATTCCACAAGATATTGTGACAAATAATAAAAGAAAACCATCAGGTTTCGTTCTCTAATTTTCGAATAATAGCAACTTTAACTAATTTGCTCATTTCCAATTTATTGAAAGATGTTGCACGTAAATGGTCTTCATAGATCTGGAACCAATATTTCCCAAAGACCTATAATCTCTCTGAAGTGCCAAAGGATTAACATTTATTATTGGTTTTTGACTGAAACGCATCTATATGAGATACAGACATTTGACTATATTCTTCCACGAAATCAGCGTTAACGATTTGTAAATTCTCCAAAAAGTCACTGGAATGGACATTTTCGTATTTTGTCTACAAAAGTTGGCAAACTATTTCACACATTTAATATTTTTGGATGGCCATCCAAAACTGCTTGGCTTTTGCCATGTCCGGTAACCCCCATTCAAATGTGCGTGAGGATCGGGCGATAATTACGACCTGCTGACAATTTTGCAGTTTTATATTGCGATCATCTCCAAAAAGAGTAGGCTTTTATTCTGACCCTCATCTTATCCCCATGCAAAATTTCGTAAGGATCGGGCCATAAATGCGATCTGTATATGATATCCTGATATCCTAACTGCTTAGTTTTGTTAGCTGTAGAAATATTACCAAATGTTTAATTCAAAATGAAAATATGCCAAAAATATGACAAAATTGAAAAAATATGAGAAAATGTTACAAAATCAATATTTTCATCTTTAGAGAGATATTTTTATGCGATTTTTTGATGTTTTTTCTTTCCTGCCAAGAGGCCATTCTGAATTAATGAGAACTGTCGAAATCAGTTCAGTCGTTCTCGACATATTAGAGATCTTTCAAGCATATCTTCTTTAATAGACATATATATCGCACATATTTTGCTATATATCCGATTTGTTGGATGTTAACATCAATGTAAAGGTCAGAAGTAACCTTGTCATGGCTTTGTGAGTTCGCCGGGACTTAAATATTCGCGGCTTAATGAAAAATTTTGCATTTTTTTCAACACAAAAGATATGGTCTATTTTACCCGCTAAATATTATCCGATGACCACCCAAATTGGTAAGCTTCTTCCCCGCCCAAAACTCTAGCTACATGCGAAATTTTGTGTCGATTGGTCTATAATTGCAACCTGTATAGCTACTTCAAAATCCAACATTTTTTCAGTATTTGGTCCATTTCAACCCTAAATATTTGGCGATCATCTCCAAAAGAAATAGGCTTCTATTCTGACCCTAACCCCACCTTCGTGCTTCGTAAGGATCGGGCCATAATTGCGACCTGTAGCGTGATTACAAATTAACATGGACAGACGGACGGACGGATATACATAGCTAGATCGACTCAGCACGGCGAGCTAGGAAGATCCATATATACTTTCCTATACGGGAAACCAATATTTCGAGGTGTTACATGAATTCTGGCCCAATCAAACTTATAATACCCCCAACACATAGTGTTGTAGGGTATAAAAATTTCATATTCAGACCCACGTCTTCGTATAGGCTTCCTCGTCTCGTACCTCCCAATATTCGGTATTTTGATGATTTTAGCGACATTATTCACATGAATTGTTAATTTCGTCCAGATCTTCGTATAGGCCCCATATATCGGTACATCACTATATTTGGTATTTTGTTGATTTTGGGGACATTATTTACTGGAGTTGTTACGAATTTCATATTTAGAGTTCGTAATGGGTACGACAGCCTATAACAAAAAAATTGCATATGCAGGCCCAGGTCTTCGTATTGCCTCCATAGCCTCCGTACCTCCCAATATTCGGTATTTTGATGATTTAAACGACATTATTCATCCGAGTTGTACCTTCATATATTCGCTATTTTGAAGATTTTAGATACAATATTCACCGTAATTGTTTCAAATTTCATATTTGAGGCTCCTAAAGGAGTACTACAGCCTGTGAGAGACAATTATCTATGCAGGTCCAGGTCTTCGTATAGCCCCCATATATCGGCACCTCTACCGATATTTTGATGATTTTAGCGTCATTATTTACCGATTTTTTTTTTCAAGTTTCATATTTGAATATTGCAATGCTAGTCCACGTCTTCGTATGGACCCTAATATAACGGCTATATTCGGTATTTTTAAGATTTAAAAAAAAATGGTAACGGATTTTATTTTTTGTTTGTTGAAAATTTCCAAATTCGTTTTAAATGGTGGAGGGTATTCAAAATTCGGCCCGGAACTTACTGCTTTTTTTACTTGTTATAACTCAGCCATATAACTACAGAGGGTTTATATGATATTTCCAAAACCTGCCTCACCGAAATTTCGTTTTTAGACCGCAGATCCCTTTGGAGCTAGGGTTATCTGTCCGTCTTTCTGGTTGGCTGGCTGGTGCGGACGATAGCTCTCGAAGCGAGCATCAGATTTAATCCTAACATGGTATATCGCAATATTATTGTCATTTGATCGAGTTCGGAGATGGACAATCTCGTTTCGCTCCTTCTGGTTTCTCCCCCATAAAAAAATCGAAATTTTCACAGAAAATAATTTAACGTACCTCTACCGCTATTTTGATGATTTTAGCGTCATTATTTACCCCATTTTTTAGTATTTGAATATTGTAATGGCCTATAAGAAAATGTGCTTATGCAGGTCCATGTCTTCATACAGACCCCAATATAACGGCTATATTCGTAATTTTTGATTTTTAACGGATTTTATTTATTTACTTTTTTAATTTCCAAATTCGTTCCAAATGGTGGAGGGTATTCAAAATTCGGCCCGGCCGAACTTACTGCTTTTTTACTTGTTATAACCTCAGCAATATGGTTACAGAGGGTTTATATGATATTTCCAAAACCTGGTGCCCAAGATAGCTCTCGACGGGAGCATCGTATTTAATCCAAACATGGTATATCGCAATATTATTGTCAAACTTTGATCGAGTTCGGAGATGGACAACCTCGGTCCGCTCCTTCTGGTTTCTCCCCCATAAAAATTCGAAATTTTCACAGAAAATAATTTACCGAGTGGATCAAGAAAGGATCATCCAATTTTATTCAAACTTTGCAAATTCTAATAGTAATAATCAGTGCTAGTTCCGGCGAGAAAATATATGTGTAAAATAAGAGTACGATTATCTTCGAATTTCGCACATCTAAATATTTCTACTAACAGAAGATCTAGTATGA